AATAGGAATCTTAGACTCCAGATGTAGAAGGAGACAGAATATTATTAATCTTTCCATATATATATATATATTCATATTCTAGGAACTCTGATGGAACTATCAGAAAATATACTTTAAAAGCAACTATCAAAATAGAAAATCAAATGTAATTTAAGAAAAAAATGAAATGGAAGGAAACTCAGAGAAGTATTTTATGGTCTGGTGTTGAGAGACTCCACATGTGTGTGAGGACATGTGTATGATGGCAGGGAGTTTGCATTACGGACACCCTATAAAACCAAGGCCGTGGGGTATAAGTAGGAAGTAATCTACTCTTCAATATAAGTTTCCTTCTGCTTGGGTCTTGGGTGTTCAAAACAAAATCTGCCCTTAGGTCTCAAAAGCTGTGGCTTAGAATTTTTACTTCCATTGTAATACAGAAACTCTAAGCCAAACAATTATCATTAAAATTGTTCCCAAGACATGAATGCCTCTGAGATATCTAGCAGAAAAACACGTAATGCTGAGAAAATATTTACCAGAGAAATACAAACCAAAAGAAAGAGGGAGTCATTATATTAATAGTTGAATTTGAGTGGGAGAAAATAATTTCAGGAAGAAAATGAGGTTAAAAAAAGATGTTTTTGGAGTAATTAGTTCATCAGAATTTTTATGGCCTTAAGCTAGTTTAAAGTAAAATCCTATAATATTGCTCAAATCAATTGATAAATCTAATGTAATTCTAGAAAAATGTAATGTATTTTGGTCATTAACTCAAAAAGCATATAGACAATATAGAATAAGTAATAAGGTTATACTCACACAAATTTGAAGCTTGAACTATTGAAACATGCATAGAATATGTACATGTTTAAATAAGATGTGTTAGTAAAAATACTTATAAAATATTTTTTTAATATTTGTGAAATAGGCATTATATAGACTAGCATGTATGTTAGTCATAATACTTACATGTAGGTTTTAATAAAAGTACTTATTCAATTGAAGTACCTTAATGGGTCACAAAGCAAATCTAACAACACTAAATTATCAGTAGCATCCATTCTTATTTTCTATTCATAAATATTTTAAATATAAATATTAAAACTGAATCTCAAGCTATTTATGTGATTTTGTAATTTGAACATAAACAAGATTTTTAAAGATCATAATAAAATATTAACACAAATTAAATTTTTGAAAAATAAATGTAGGACTTCTTAGCAGTAAGACCTTATAAAGATACCAAAGTACCATAACTACATCTGGATCCTTCTCCAGGCTCAGTGGTCAGAAAGGTTTGCAAGAGAATCATAGTTTAGGGTAGGTTTGGGAAATGTTAGTAAGAACTCATTTCAACCCATCAGCCAGGCATAGTGGAGTAGTACACCATGGTCCCATCTATGCAGGAGGTATTAAGTGGGAAGATCATGGTACTTGAGAGCTGGCCAAACACACACACACACACACACACACACACACACACACACACACACAATAATAATAATAATAATAATAAACAGTTTGAAAAAGAAAGTAATTTGGAAGGTTTAAATGTATGCACATATGTTAAAATAGAAAGATGATAAGCAATACATCTAAATTAAGGAGCTAGGCAAAGAGCAGCCAGGGAAATTTTAAGAAAGGAAATAATAAATACAATAAATACATAGTATCAAAGAAAAAAAATAAAGTAGGCATTCCTCATATTTCAGAAACTGCATTGTTGTTGTGAATGTTTATCTGTGTGCTGAGACAGCTCTCCTTGGTTAGCCCAGATTTATCTCCACTTGCTATTTCCTGTATCAGCCTCCTATGTGCTGGGATTGTAGGCATATATCATAGTGCTTTGCCATAAATTCTTGAATAATCTAGGCAAGTAAGAAAAGATCCCTTAGTCCTATTGAAGACTCTCTAATCCTGACATCAAAACTAGACTAGAATAAACGAGTAGAATAAGCAAACATACACTTAGATTTCTATGCAAATATTCTGAAAAAAAATTAGTCACCAAACACAGCAAAGATAGTTTGACCAAGTAAAGTTATTCCAGAAATACATGCATGCCTAAACAGTTTGAAGCCAACAATTATCCTTATAAATGTTTCAACTTCAGTTTATAAAAAAATATTTTACCAAATTAGAAATGGAAATGATCTTCTTAGTTTGATAAGGGGACTTTTCCAAAAACACACAGCAATTATTTTTATAGTTAAAATCTTGGATACATTCTTTTCAATGTCAAGAACAACAAACAAACTAAGGAAAATTAACGGCTCCTGATCCAAACAGAAAAAACTAAGAATAAAACCTGGCATATCCTTGTATATTACATACTCTTCAGTATTTCTATATATAAGAAACACTTCATAATAAAAAAATAAAAAATGGACAATGTGCAAAACACTGTTTTAGATATAAATGCTTCTAAGTGAAGATCTGGATTTGAGCCTCATTTACTAGTTTCTATTTATTTAATAAATAAAGATAATAAAACCTATTTGTGCTTTCAAGGATCAAGAAGATTCAATATGAATAAATAAATGTACATTAGGTTATGGTGTATGAAAATGGTTACCATAGGCTAGAATGCACTATATTGATGTATGGTACTATTGCAAGTCGTCTTTTGTATATGTTATGTTGAATTGGAAAGAAAAGAAAATTGAATCTTCCAAAACCACACATGATTCTCCATCCATACCTAAATCCAACAGGTAGAAAAACTAAAGGAAGTTCACCTATCTGGATAATCTGGAACAAATCTAGAAAACAATTAAAAATATAGAGAAGTATATTGTTTTCCAAGTCTTATGGCATTGTAGAAAAGGCAAAACTGTAAAGACAATGTAAGATTAATGATTCCCAGGGAGAAAGGAAAGATGAATACATGGAGCATGAGAGATATTTAGAGCATAGAAACTATCCTCTGTGATATTACAGGGGTAGATACATGTCATTATGCATTTGTCAAAACCTATAGAATGCAAATCACAAAGACTGAAGCCATAATGTAAGCTCTGGGCTTGATTAATAATAGTATATTAATAGTAGTCCATCAATCTTGACAAATGTTGCATACAATTGCAAGATGTTACTGGTATGAAATACAGAGAGGAGAGAGGAATATTCATGATCTGTACTTTCTGCCAACATTTTAATAAGCCTAAAATGGATATGGCAAACAAAACAATCTATTAATTTAGGGGAAACTTTAAAAAAGTGTATATCCTCTAAATGGAAATCGCAATGGCAAGCATGCTTTATGTAGATTCTTTTTAATCAGAGATAAGCTATACAGGCATTCTGCGAAGACACTTATTCTTGGTTTAATCATAGTTTCTGTCATTTTTTCAACTACTACCTAGTAACCTTCTCTTTATTTCTTTAAATTATATTTTCATTATATGTAAGTAGTTTTATGAAGGAGTTATCATTTAGCAAATCAGTTTATAAGGATAATGAATCTAGATTAATATTATCACATTCATCATTCTCTCACATCCTTCTCAACCTTTTCCTCCAATTTTCCTAGTTTCATAGAATATGCCTGAAAATGTATGACTGCTTTGTCCCCCTTCCTCTCTCCATTTATTTCTCTCCCCTTGACCTCTTCTGAACAGCTTTCAAGTACTAGTTTCCTTATTTATTTTGTTGATTTAGGAGTGAGTTTTTCTAAGGAATTACACCATTTGAATTCTCTTCTGCAATGATCATACTACAGTTAATATGTTTGTGGACTTTTGCATACAACACCATATGTATTTCCCTGCATGTTTTAAGTTAAATCAAACTTCTACATACGAAAGAAAACATATATGCTTGTCTCTCTGTGCCTGACTTACTTTATTTAACATAATTCTTTTTAAGGTCTATCCATTTATTTTCTAATGAATAAGTAAATGTATATATCTTATGGTTAAATTAATTAAAATATAAATTGTAACAACTAAGGAAGAAAAACATATTTATTAGTATAATTTTCATCCAGCAGTAAGAAGTGAAAATCAAAGACTCGCTTGTATCCTATAGTTTCTTAGCATTAGCTTTTTTTTTAATTGCCACCCTCTACTTAGATGCTAAGACCTTACCCCTGACGCCTCCCTCACCTCATGTACCATGTGCTCCAAGATCCATCAAGTACAAGGGCAACACAGATTACTAATTAGCAAAGGCCACTGAAGATCAAGTCAGAGCTATGCCTGGAATTCTTCCTGACTGGTGTGGATACTTTCCTTTAGCTATTTGGTCAAACCTGGTGCTCTTCTAGTTAAGCCACACCTCTATTACCCGACTTTTGGCTGGTTAGTTGGAGATATGAGTATCAAGGATTTTTCTGCCTGGCTCTCTTTGAAGTGTGATCCTCAGGTCTCAGCCTCCTGAATAACTAGGCTTACAGAATGTGAGCCTGTAGCACCTGGCTTGCAAAAATTTGTTAACACATCTAAATGGAAGTCAAGGAGGTAAACTAAATAATGCAATAGAAGATCTATTAACATTTGCAGAAATACTATAATGTATGAAAAAAACTTGAGTACCTTTAAGCACTGATATCCTTTCCTTTGTGTGGCATTTTATTTACAGTTTTGAAATAATCACAGAAGAAAGGTTAAAATCTATCTCTTATGCACTTTTTCTGAAGACAGACATGTATTTGATATTCTTTGGAAATACTTTTGGTTTTTCTCTCTTCTGAAAGAGGACCCCCGAGATCTCCTGTGTGTTCTCTGTTTCCAAGCAATTGTTGCACAGAATGCTAGGTTGAATGTTGGCTATTTATGGCTCAATAGGCCTAGGAGACAAGCAAGAGAACCTTCGTTATCATTGCATAACACACATCCAAAATACAGTCTGCACAAATTATTGAATAATATTTGGGAAAGAAAGGATATCTGTAGTTATATGAAAATTTTCAATTGTGTGTAAATCTCTTGCTGATAACATATCTAAACAACTTTTAACTTTTCAAGAGGAATGCATAACAGATTGTAGATAAACAGATATCTTCAATTGTTTTCCAGAGAAAAGAATTATCCGCCTGCAAGTACAAACAGTTACAAAGTTTAAAACCGTCTCTAATGTTGTTGGATATGTCAAGGGCCTAATATCCCCAGGTCAGTAAAATTAAATATTTTTCATCTGTATTCTATATGAAGCTTCAGCTGTAGCATACTAAATAAATAAATAAATAATCTGTAGAAATTGTAAAACATAGTAAAATATTTCATTCTAGGTATACAAGCCACTCAAAAGGTGGCTTGACATGAAACCAAACAGTTTTTATTTTATGACACACTTTTCTTTCTTTCTTTCTTTTTCTTTCTTCTTTTCCCTCTCTCTCAACTGTCTCAACCTTAGGAGACAGAACATTTGGAGAGACACAAGGGAATGAACGTAGAAACATTATTCAGCACTGCTAACCTGTCATGTGTTTCAAAAGCCAATAGTCTCTACTTTCTCTTTCACTCACCATAACACCATTGACTTTTATTAAATTGAGACATTTGTGTTCAATTGTTTTTACTTTTTAATTTTTTCTCTTTTGATAAATTATTTTTGGGGGGGTCCAGTCGTGGGGCCTGAACTCTGGGTCTGGGTGCTGTCCCTCAGCTCTTCAGCTCAAGGCTAGCGCTCTACCACTTGAGCCACAGCGCCTCTTCTGGCTTTTTTCTTTTTGCTTATATGGTGCTGAGGAATCGAACCCAGGGCCTCAGACATGCAAGGCAAGCGCTCTACCACTGAGCCACCTTCCCAGCCCTCTTTTGGTAACTTTTGACTTCATTTTGTTATATTGCTTTGTCTTATCATTATATATTAGTACAGAGAATATTGTTTGTTAGATCAATAAAATAGTTCAATGTGAATTAGTGTCCTATTCCCAGCCTGTGCTCTATGAACAACCATGTCCATTTTTTGTCTGCATTCAAGTTAAAAAAAAACTTATGGATCCTTTGCATGATATTATGATATTATGTTGGCCAAATAGAGTAATGAGAAGCTGGCACACAAGTTACTTAGGAGACTAACTCTTCAAATTCTTCATCAAGTGGAATGACTATTGAGTTTTTGGTCCATGTACCCTATGTAGGGTCTAGCAGTGTTTTGTTACACAGCACTCAGTTATCAAACATCTTATAATATATGATAGTGAAATACATAGGTTCATAGATGGAGCTGTTTGCTCAAATAAATTTAGCTGTGTTATTCTCATTTATCATATTTATACATAACAAAATGAGAGGGAATTCCAAAGACATATTTTAATTTCCTTTATATTGGAAGAAAATTGGTAATGTTCATTTAAACCATATATTCTCCTATGCAATTATAAACTTTAATTGTGGCTCTAATATGTAAAATACATGAACTAGTGAGTTTTGTAGTGGTTGACATTTGATATTGGTGTGCTTTACATTTTCTTCAGGTCTAAAACTGTAAGTTGGAAATTATAATTAATTCCCAGTAATTGTTTATTACAGAATCCACACATGACTAACAGTTTTGTAATGTTAATTGCTATTAAATAACTTCCTCACATGTATTAGCTCATTGTTGTTTGCTGAACTGGACACATTGTTCATAAGGTCCTTCTCACTGATGTTGGTAAAATTGTCAAAGAAAGGATTCACTGTGGTATAGTTGGATACTATGTAAATTAATATTCACATTGTGAAAGACAGTGATAGGAATTAAAGGTTTGGATTGATCATTTGGTTAGGCAGATGCCTCTGTTTTGATATACCCAGATGTATAACCTAAGACAGTGGGTGAAAACTGACATATTCTTAATAATTAGAACAATTTTGCTTAATTGCTACTTCATTGTGCAAGAGGGTTATGTAAATGTCATTGCATTTATTGTTAAGATTTATATTTTGTGTTAATGGCTCTTGTCTTCCTCTTTGTGTAGACCGATATATTATAGTTGGGAGCCATCATGATAGTGGATTCACTTATATTGGACAAGAATGGGCCAGTAGCACTGCTGTGATCACAGCTCTGATTCGATCAGTGATGCTGAGAGTGAGGAGAGGATGGAGACCAGACCGCACCATTGTTTTCTGCTCATGGGGAGGAACAACGCTGGGAAACATTGGTTCCTATGAATGGGGAGAGGTAACATGAAATAGAATTATTCAGTGAGACACAGAACGCTTGTGTCAAATGAGCTCAATATGCCTGCCTACCAGAAATGTTCAAATATTTAAAAGAATATGACAACTAATCATTAAATTAATACCATATTAATAACAATATAAACTTTGAAAAACTCTTAGGTAGTTTGTTCACTATTTTTAATAAAAGAGGAAACAATTTAATGGAAGCACTTTGATATTCTAGTTTTTTACTAACTCAGTTTTAGGGAAAATTTTATATCTAATATGAATTCTCTTGAAACATTTTTATTATATTACTCAAAAAGTTACTTGAATTTCAGAGAAAATATCAAAAAATCATAGAAAAGAAACTAGCAATCACTTTTTTTAATTTGAAGGAATTTGTCTTAAAGATGAGGACATTTTTATGGCATAAATTCCAACAAGATTCATAACTGCAACTTCAAATGCTTTATTTTTATGTAAATGAGTGGTGTGAGCATTATACTCCAAAGAATGACTTCAAGTAAAGAATTCTATTGCTTTAAGACTCTTTTTAAGTTGACAGATTCCTAAGTGGCATAGAAAATGTAACAGCTGAAACAACCTCTCAGATTTCTATTCTAAATCATTTGCTTTCAAGATCAGTAAAGCAAGTATAAAATGCATTTAAGCAAAATATTTATAAGTTAGACTACTTTAAATAATTCATACACAAAGAAATCACACTTAAATCTTCTTAAGTATTAAGAATGTCTTAAATGTTTCTTTCAAACTCTGAATATGTCATTATATCCATAGTTTTCTAAATAACTATCTATTATAAATTTATGTCAAATTTGAATTAATATGTATACGTGCAAACTATTTTCTTAGAGTAAGCCTGTCTAATATTGTTATTTATAAGTAAAACACCCTGAATCCAGCTGTAAAATATAAATTACTTAGCAATAATTGCTTCAATTTCTGTGAGCATCAACTATCTTACCCTGTGAATTGAAGCAATGTGCACTGGTGCACATACAAGCAGTTATTCTTAATAATGAAGTAAATGTTTCTGAAGTTAATAATATACAATTATATTTTTAAGTTTTAATGAATCCATTATGCTTTTGGTAGTTTTATATTTTCTTAATCATAAGATTGTAAATACTACACAATTACAACATCGTAGGAGTCAATAGTGAAAAGTTAGAAAAAGTTCATCTTGCTCAAATGATTAGGTAGAGCTGTCTTTGATTATTGACATATATATGTATATATATATATTTATATACAAATATAGAGTGAATTCTTCAAATAAGCACACCAAATGCCTGTCTTGTGAAATGCTCATGGAGATTATTTCAATTAGCATACACATCCTATGATAGAATGTTGCTTCATGCAAACTTCACATAACAGGAATTTTAGGATCTATGAATGCATTAATTCTGTAAGTAAAATTAAATATTTTAATTTAAAATATTTTAATTTTAAATAGTAATCTTTTTAACTCTCTTAGAGGTGATGGTGTATTTTTAACACAAAAGTACATGATTATATTATGGGCACTTTCTCTCAGAGTCAAGTGTTACTTTGTGCAGGAAGTAGCTTATTGCTTCATAAGGAAGGACACACATTATGAACCACTGAAATAGTTCATTCACCATGCTTGTTCTCTTTATCAATGCCTACCCCAATTTATGTATTGTCAATGAAGCAGAAAACATGTTCTTAATTTCTGTGGTCAAATGCAATGCTATGCTATCATTTACAGAATTTTTTTCTTGAAATTTGACTTTTGTGGCAGAGATATTATAGGTTATATCCAACCCCTCACCTCCAATATGTAAAATTCCTTTCTTATCCTTCATTTAATGTATTAGATAGTATAAAATGCATTTGTACTTATACAATGAAAAGATTTGATAAACAACATTTCACTAATGAAGTCAAGTCAGATATCTTCATTTATGCTAAAGGGAGAACCTATTCTCTTTTGGTTCCAGGATTTCCAGAAAGTTCTTCAAAAAAATGTTGTGGCTTATATTAGTCTCCATAGTCCAGTCAGGGGCAGCTCCAGTCTCTACTCTGTAGCATCACCTTCACTTCGGCAACTGGCAGTAGAGGTAAGTTGAACCATGGTTATGGAAAGGGTTATGTAATTCAGTACTTTGTGATCTATTCTATTTACATATGCCTAAAATAACTATATGAATTTCAAGGAATGACTTCTATTGCTCTCATGTTCTTGAACTCTTTACCTGCACCAAAAGCATAATTATGCTTTACACAGTGGTATAAAAAATAATTTTAAAAAAAATTAAGTTTATCTCTTAAGTTTCCAATTCTGTGATTATGATGTTTTTATAGTGGGATTCATTGCCCTTGGATTTTTTAATTTATTTTTTATTTGTGAACATACTGTACAGAGGGGTTACAATTACATGGGCAGGATAATGCGTACATTTCTTACCAAGCATTGCAGCCTCCTCCTTTGGTTTACCCTTCACATCCCTTCCCAGCCTCCCTTTTTACCTGCACCAAAAGCATAATTATGCTTTACACAGTGGTATAAAAAATAATTTTTTAAAAAAATTAAGTTTATCTCTTAAGTTTCCAATTCTGTGATTATGATGTTTTTATAGTGGGATTCATTGCCCTTGGATTTTTTTCCCCTGAATTACATTTTATGTGAATTTAGGAAGTGACCTATATTCCTAACAATGCTGTAAGCCTTTTGAGGAGAAGAATACAGTGACAAATAAATCTATCAGATTTGGAAAGTACCTTTTGCATAAATATCTGTGATAAAAGAAAAGAAAACATTTTTAACAAAGCAATTTGAAAAATATCATGTAGCTGGTGATAGATCATTAGAGTTATTAATTTCTTAATCACTTCTAACATATTTCAAGGAATTTAGCAGGCATTTTCTGCTTATTGATAAAATTTAACAAGTCTATTTCTACATCATTTTAGTGATTGTACCAATTAACACTGTCAGTATGAACAGAGTCCTTACACCACAAGAAGGGCTACTTACTCCCAGCCCAGTATCTTAGAAGTGACCTTTCAGAGGCCCACTGAGCTTTCAGGGGGTGTACAGAAACTGAACAGAAAGGAGAGAAATCATGAAAAGTGTTTGGAAATAGCCATGATTCTTGACTCAAATGTAATAGAAACTTATACTCTATGCTTTCTATAAAATATTTTCTACTTTAATAGTTTCATTGACATTTCCATATTTAGTTCAACAAAGCAGACATCATGAAAGATGAAATAGCTAAAGCTGTACATTTAAGACAAGCTGAGGCCCACTGTGTGTGACCTAAATGTTAATCTAGACCTGTAATTAATTTCTCCTCTTCTTATCACTTCTTGGGATTACCCATTCTCCTTTTCCCAGCATCAGTTTTCATGTTCCTTTTGAGGATGTTCATTTCTAGAAAAATGGTCAATCTGGAAAAGAAGCTTAAATATGCAGAAATTGGGAAGGGCTGGTTTTAATATGTGCTTTCATTCTATTGTGGGGATTATGTATGTCAGATAACCACTGTACAGTTCTAAATAAAACATTCACTCTATAGTTTATAATTTCTGAAAATGTAATGCTTTAAAATCTATTTGCCTGTGGCTGGGGAGGTGGCTCAGTGGTAGAGCGCTTGCCTTGCATGCATGAGGCCCTGGGTTTGATTCCCAGTACCACATACAGCAAAAAGAAAAAAAGCCGGATGTGGCACTGTGGCTCAAGCAGTGGAGCGCTAGCCTGAAGAGCTGAGGGACAGCGCCCAGGCCCAGAGTTCAGGCCCCACGACCGGACCCCCCCCCCAAAAAAAATAAAATCTATTTGCCTATTTTAAATGGTTCTATAAGAAAGATATTCTAACATGATTTCTCAGTAATGAATAGTGGCATGCTGATCCAGACACTTTTGTTGTTTGGGAGAAGACTATTCTGATCTACAACTGAGAATGCTTACATGATAATTTTAAATCAACTGCAATCTGTACCATAAGAAAATGTATTATATTTGAGATTGTGTGTGTGTGTGTTCCACAAAATGATTTAGAAGAGTAGGAATTTCATTACTTTAGAAAAAGTATATCATCATCAAAATCACATACCCCTTTGTGATGAAAGTTCTGGAGACACTAGGAATCCATGGAACATTCCTCAATATAATTAAGGCTGTGTATAACAAACCTACAGCCAGCATTATACTTAATAGTGAAAAGTAAAAGTCATTTCCTCTGAAATCAGGAAGGAGACAAGGATGTCTGATTTCTCCACTCCCCTTCAATATAGTACTAGAATTCCTAGCTAGAATAAGGCAAGATGAAAACATAAAGGGGATCCAAATAGGGAAGGAAGAAATAAAACTCTCCCTCTTTGCTGATGACATGATCCTGTATTTATGGAACCTCTCCCAAGTTATTTGAGCTGATCCAAAACATTGGCAAATTATCAGGCCATAAAATTAACCCACAAAAATCAGTAGCTTTGGTGTATGCCAACAATGAAAAGAGTGGGGCTAAAATCAGGAAATCAACTCCTTTTGTAATAGTCTCAAAAATACTTAGGAATTAATTTAACCAAAGAGATCGAGGACCTCTATGATGAAAACTTTAAAAACCTGAAAAAAAGAGATTAAAGCAAATATAAGGAAGTTAAACTTTCCATGCTCACAGATTGGGAGAATTAACATCGTGAAACTGACAATACTTCCAAAGCCATCTACAAATTCAATGGTATACTCATATCTCAACATTCTTTAAAGAATTATAAGAAGCAACCCTCAAATTAATATGGAGTATAAGAAGATCCCAATTTCAAAAACAATCCTTAGTAGGAAGAACAGTGCTGAAGGAATGCCAAACTTCAAATACTATTATATAGCCATAGTAATAGTAAAAACAACACAGGAACTGGCCAATGGAAAAGAATTGAACACCCAGGAATGATTCCAAAGACCTATGGCTACCTAAATTTTGAAAAGGGAGCCAAAATCACTAGATGAAAGAAAGACTCTTCAACAAATAGTGCTGGCATAACTGGCTAAATATGTGCAGAAATTTGAAGTTGGAACTTTATATATCACCCTGCACCAGAATCATCTCCAAATGGATCAAAGGCTTATATGTAAGATCAGGTACTACAAAAATATTAAAGGAAGGATTAGGGTAAACACTAGGGCTCCTTGACACTGGTCAAAAGTTTCTTAATAAAGACCCAGAAACACAAAAACTTAAGGTTGGATAAATGGGATTGCATTAAACAGCAGAGCTTCTGCATGGCAAAGGACATAGCTAGCAAGATCAATAGAAAGACCTCATATTGGGAGAAGAGTTTCACTTGCTATACAGCAGACAAGGGGTTTCATATCTAAAATATGCTTAAAGTTCCAAATTTAATTAACCAAAACCAAATCCTCAAAGAAACAATCACTCTATTAATAAGTGGGCAAAAGAGTGAAAGAAAGCCTGCTCTGAAGAGGGAAGAATGGCATATAGACACATAAAGATATGTTCAATATCTCTGGTCATAAAAGAAATGCAAATCAGAACAATATTAAGATTCTACCTTTTCTTTACAAATGGGGCAGTGTCATTCTTTCTGATGGAATTATAGAATTCCATTATATATATGTGTGTGTGTATAAATATACATATACATATGTATATATATACCACATTTTCTTGATCCATTCATCTACTGAGGGGTATCTGGTTTGGTTCCATATCTTAGCTATGGTGAATATTGCTGTGAAAAACATAGTTGTGCTGGTAGCTATGGTATGGTCTTGTTTGTGATCATTTCAGTAAAGAAGTGGGATTTCTGGGTCATAGGGGAGCTCTTTGTGTAGTCTTTTGAGGAACCTCCATACTGCTTTCCAGAGTGGCTGAACAAGCTTACATTCCCACCAACAACATCTGTTGTTATTAGATTTCTTGTTTATAGCCATACTAACTGGGGTGACGTGGAATCTCAATGTTGTTTATTTGTTTTGTTTTTGTTTTTGTTTGGGAGTTGTGGCGCTTGAACTGAGCCTAGGTGCTTCCCCTCAGCCCTTTAGCCCAAGGTTAGCACTCTACCACATGAGCCATAGCGCCACTTCCAGTTTTCTGGTGGTTTATTGGAAATGAGTCTCATTGACTTTCCTGCCCCATCTGGCTTTGATCTGTGATCTTCAGATCTCAGTCTCAATGTTGTTTTGATTTGCATTTTTTGTACAGCCAGAGAAGTTGAGCATTTCTTCATGTGTCTATCAATCAGCCATTCTGTTTCCTCTTCAGAGAAGTCTCTCTTTAAGTCCTTATTTTCATTAATTAGTATACATCTAGGATAATCTTAGTAGATGAGTAGATAGCTCAACAGCTATGTACATATGTCCATATGAGATGATGCTAAGCAAAATGAACTCCAAGCAAGGACACAAGAGGTTTTCTTTGTTGTTTTTAATATACTATGTGATTTTTTTTTGTTTCTTTTGTATGGTCTTCTCCCTGTGGTATCCTCTGTTGTCACTGTATTTGATTTTTGTACCCTGGTATTGTATGTACGTTTATTTGAGTTAGGCTAGGGAATGGGAACAACAGAATGGTGAGACAAAGGAAAAGGTGGCAACAAATGCAACAACAATACTCACAAGACAACATGTTGGACATGATGTCTACAACTTGGGGGTGGGACGGTGAGGAGGAAAGGGAAGAAGGAAAACAAAGAAGGAAGGGGTAACAAATTTGACAAGAAATGTACCTATTACCTTGCTTAGGTAACTGCAACTCCTCTGTTTATCACCTTGACAATTAAAAAAAAAGGATTCCACCTCCCCCCAGTTAGAATACCCATGTTCCAGAAAACTATTAATAACAGATGTTGGCCAGGGATGTGACCAAACTGAATTCTATTACATTGCTAGTGGGAATGTAAATTTGTTTAACCACTCTGGAAAGCAGCTAGGAGGTTTCTCAAAAGGTTAAACACTGTGCTCCCCTATGATCCAGCAATCTTATTCTTGGGCATTTACCCAAATGATCACAAACAAGGCCACACTGAGCTATCAGTACAACTTTGTTCATTGTGGCATTATTTATTATAGCCAAGATATGGAATCAACCCAGATGGG